GTTTGGTTGTTTTCAGATAAATCATGGGAGCATTTCTACTTGGCTTTTATATTTGAAAAAAAATAATAATAATAAAAAATATATAAAAAAAAAAATTAATGTAAATTTCAACCAAACTGGAAAAATAAAAATAGCAAGATAGCAAAGCAGAAACAGAATAAAGTGCTACTAATCCACAGGCAGGAAACACTGGAGTGCAATCCAAGACATTAAATACTAATTTCATGTATTACTTTTTATATTTATAATAAGGCTAATTAGGTTTAAATAATGTGACCTTTTCTTATTCATAGTGTTGTGATAGAAGTGTTAGAGTTGAAAGAGAAAATTTAGATAAGTAATTTAGATAAGTAGTAATTCAAAAATGCATTTATAGGTGACAATAGATGGTAAATCAGACAGCTGTTTCAGGGTTTAGTAAACAAATTTAAAAGGTGTTCTGCTGCCAGATTACTCCCAAATTTACCACTCTCTATCGAGAGTGATGAATGAGAGAAGAAGGCAGAAGCTCAGGCCCGGACCTCTGTTGCCCACCCAGGTTTGTTTTAGCTCTCTCTCCAGCTTTGTTTTCACCTGCTGGGAGGAGCTCTCACCATCGAGCCCCAGGGCACGCAGCACGTACTCTCAATTTCATGTAATAAAAACATAATTTAGTGGGCTGCATCACTGCCCTCGCATTATTTCAAGTAGTTTCAACTCAGAAACAGAAAAAAGGGAACCTGATAGGGCACCTTATAGGGTCTAGAAAAGACGTGGTAGTATCTTCTGCTTCAGAGAGAGGCAGGCTTAAGCCACAAGGCTGTTTGCCACTCAGTGCCTCCTAACTCCAGCCCTCTTCCAGTTAGCAAGACAGAAATAACCTAACTATCCAATTTCAGTTGTTTTTCTGCAGCAAAGATTTGGAGCCCTGATGGATGATAAAGCATTAAACCAGAAGGACCTTGTTTTAAGTTGTATTCCTGCATGTGATATTGCACAGCAGAGAAATTTAGTGACACTGGTGTTGCAAAATGCTACAGGCAACCAGGGAGCTGATCAAACTTCTGTATAACCCAGAAAGCAGATTATTTAAGAGTTTATACAAAAAAAAAAAAAAAAAAAAAAGACAATTTACAAATGGCTGATATAACTGGTCTCACTAGAGACTAGAGCCAACATCTGGAGTGATTATATCTGTGTCCGTGGAAAACTGACATTCTGGGGCGTAGGTCTAGCATTTTTTGTGACACAGTTAAAAATATAAAATAAAATAAAATAAAATAAAATAAAATAAAATAAAATAAAATAAAATAAAATAAAATAAAATAAAATAAAATAAAATAAAATAAAATAAAATAAATAAAGTAAAAATAAATATCATTCCAAGCATTGCATTCAACCAGTCCAATTAATATTAAAGATTAAGTTAAAATCTTTCAAACTGATAGGACATGAGGTTAAAACTTGTGAAGACAAGAATATCTGAACTTCCCAAACAATTACCTTCTATGCAGGCCCTGTTTGGTTTTCTAGGGTTCCAAAATCCATCATTTGGTGGAAAGGTGATGGGGGAAGGAGATGCTATGTGCGTGAATCCTCCTCTTATGGAGCAGGTGTCCCCCAGGCTGCACCCCAGGCAGCCTTACTCACACCCGGTAGTACAGACTTAGGGGCTAAGGGAGCTTGGTACCTACAGGATGAGGCAGCAACAATAAATATGTGAGAGCACCTAAAATGTGAGCTCAGCTGCCAAAAGAGGATTCTGGCATCCTCTGCTCAATGAGCAACCAGGGACCTCTCACGTGGCAAACGAATTGAGAACCAGAAGGTTAGAAAAATGAAAGGAATCCATCATTTTGTGACTTGCAGCATGTAAGGAGCGGAAAGTAATTGGAGTTCGTGCTTGTCTTCTGTCGTAGCCAAACATAAATGGATTGGAGTTCGGCGATGCGCAGTCTGGGGAAAAGCAATGTGTCTCATGAGAGCGCAGACGGTAGAGAGCACATGGCTCAAATGCTGAACAAATGGTGTGCAAATATGCCCTGCCTGTGCTTTATAAAATGGATTGCAAACAGAGAGCAGTAAATCAAGGATACCCAGCCCCTCACCTCCACCCCAGCCCGAATACTTCCTTGGAAACACATCTGGAAACACCAGCACATCCACAATTAAAGCTGAAGGTGGAGGAAGAAAGAAAAAAAAAAAAAAAGAAACGATAACAACAACAACAAAGCATAGAAAGGAAAAAAATAAAAATAGAAAAGAAAAAAATAAAAAAGTAACATCCCAAGTTGCCCAGAAACTTGTGAAATCTGATTCAAACAACCTCAAGCTGACATAGATTTCTGAGCTTTTCATGACCAAGCTGTGCTTTGGAGCTAGTCATGAATGATTACATTAAGCAAAGGTACAGGCTTTACAGAATCAGATCCCAGTAAGTTTTTAAACAAAAAAAATATACAAAAACAGTCAGCAAAGTCCACAGGCTGAGACCCCAGATACCAGCAACCAGGAAATATTGGACAAGAAACTGATAGCGATAGGGAGAAAGAACAAGAAATCATCTGCATGCGCCTGTGGATATGTGAGAACACTTTCTGATCAAGACCTGAATTTTCTTGAATCACTGCAACAAAATGCTGCATGTGGTCACGTTTGTGAAGTTTTGCTGGAGACTAAATTTTGTAATGGCAAAAGTATAAGCAAGTGGTAATTGTTTGGAGCCCTCCAAAGCTGATACATCAAACCAAGTGCAGTATGGACTGATCTGTGTCCAATCTGTTGGCTCCCTATTCCCCAGCTACTTTCCTTTGCTCCTCTGCAGCTCAGCCTTTGCATTAATGCCTCAAAAACCCTGTTGACAAACATCATTCTTGTCTGCTATCCGAAGGCAAAGCTACCTGAAAGTGGGTGAGAAAGGAGGATGTCTGGCTCTGACCCACGGCTGTTGCTACCACCAGGAAAAAAGAGCTGCAAGTCTGTGAGAGTGGGGTGAGCAGGAGACACTGGCAGCTGGAAGGAGCCGGAGAAAAGGAAGTGGGATAGACAGAAAAAGAAACACTCACTGGCTGGAGAGAGCTTGGGAAGGCGGGGGGGAGGAGTACCCAGGTGCCAAAATATGCAATTGTAACCCCATGTATGAAAATCTACTTTTTAAGCAAGAACGTAGTAAAAATATACGAATGCTTACATGCATGCAAATACACAAAATTCCAAACAAACTATTTCTAAGTCAGATTTTTCTAACGTCCGATTTCAACAAATAATCATCCTTTATTCACAAACCAAAATTATCTTTTGAAGATTATAAACTAAACTCACATTTACCTTTCCTAGCCAAGAAACCATTACCCTCAAGTTAGCTCTCTTAATTGATTTATTAGTCTACTCTGTTCATTAACTGCATCCTGATGAAGCAATTATTATAAATGAAGCAGACAAAAGAACTGACACTTCTAGAGAATACTTGGTTTTAGGATGGTCAGAGCAGGTGGCTTTACTTATCATCTCAGCATAAATGCCCAGGCTGCCTTAAGTGACCCTACTGAGGCTTTCCAAACCAGGGCTGCTCTGGTATAAAAAGCTGAATCAAGCTGTCTTAATAGCAGTACATAGAATTTCCTGCTTCCATTTAAATGCACGTAGCAGTAAGAAGGCAGAAGGACCGAGCAAGACAAGGCAGAGCAGGACCTCTGTATTTTCTTACTGTTTTGGAGAGAGCACAGCCAGAGCAAGACCCCTAATTATAAACCCCAGAGTAGCCCCATGAGAACTACTTCATCACATCCTTCCCCCGCTTCATGACATAGCTTGTCACTTTGCACCCAGATGATGCTTAGTCCAAAAATAAATAAATATATTAATGATTTAGGTCCCAAAGTCATCATACAAGGGAAATTTAAAGCCAATTATTGCACTGTGAAATTCAAGTGCCTGCTGCATTTGTAATGGGGGCAGATATGCTACAGAGCTGAGTGTTAGCTTTCTTCTAACCTCTGGTGATGTAGGATGCACAGGGTAACCTACAAGTGAACCCACAGGGGCTCGAGACACACCGCAGCTACCATGAACTCATCTAGAGCAGACACAGCCCACAGACAGTGTCATTCAGATGACATTTAGTCTTGGTGGTTACCCTCCTTTGTGTAATACTGTAAGTAGTCAGAACATTTGATAAACATTAACTTTCAAATCATTTGAAACACCCTCTAGGGAGATAGAGATGGAGACTTCACCCCCAGGTAACAGAAGAGACATGCACAGTGGATGTTTTTCTCCCAGCCCATCAATGGGCATCTGTCCAGTCCAGAAAAAAAAAAATACAAGACTCATAGAATGGCTGGAGGTGGAAGGGACTGTATTATCTAACTCCAATCCACCTGATATAGACAAGGATGCCACCCACTACATCAGGCCACCCTGGCCTTGAACACCTCCAGGGACGGGAAATCCACAGCTTCTCTGGGCAACCTGTGCCAGTGCCTCACCACCCTTACCACAAAGAATTTCCTCCTAGGGTCTAGTCTAAATCTATCCTCTTTTAGTTTAAAACCATTGCCCCTTGTCCTATCATTATCTACCTGAGTCCTTCTCCGTCCTTTTATTAGACCCCTTTAAGTATTGTATTTTTGTAGTACAACACCTAGTTCTTGAAATGTCAAAAGAGACCCAGATTCTGAAATGGTGAAAGAAGAAACCCCGTAATTGCTCAGTAATTTCTGTTTTTGAACTGAAAACTATTCCGTGTGAAACAAAACGGAGATCCCCACTTCCAGCTAAATTTCCAAGACCTGATATTAATTACCCTACTTGAAAGTGGTGGATGCACATGCAAAAGTTTGGAGCCAAATCAAGACTCCTTAAAATTCAGTTCCATTCTCATGACTGTTGATTTGTGCCTCAGTTTTCTTGAGCTATAACATACCCACCCTGCATACTCTGAAATATGAACAGTGTTTGAAGCAGCAGAAGAAATACAGGGACACAGGAAAATAAAGAAACCACAAAGATATTTTTTCTTAGAAATATATTTTGTAAGAAAACAATATTAACATTAAAAAGAAATGCTTATTATACAGTATAAAATAACTGCTTGAATTCAACTCAGTTTATTATAAAAAAAGCCTGAGGATTTGTATGAAGCTTCATTTCTTACACATTTGAGCATTCTGCCTTCTGATTCCTACTGCATTAAAGACATTTTCTCCGCATCATCCTTAGAGCACCCAAACATTCCTATAGTCTCCTTGATCCCCACCCCAAAGTTGTTCCTTGCCCAGATGTGCTCTAAACATCACCTACAATATTTGCAGCTCCCTCCCATGTTCCCCATACCCACCCTCAGATTCCTTCCACCTACCTTTTTGGCCAAGCAACTATGCAAGAGACAACACGTGTAGCGGCTAACTAGGAGCTTCCCCATAGTAATTTGTTGGCTAATATGAACAGTGGCCAGCCACTGACGAATAATGAAAAATTGGCTGAGTCCTTCTCAGCTGTCAGTTCTCATAAAACCTGTAAAAATCCCTCTCGACACTGCCATTCACCTGCCAGATCTGGCAGGAAGGTGCAGAGTTTTAGAAGCTAGAAGGGGAGAACAGGACAGGCAACGCAATGACAAAAGCTTCATTTTCTCAGGGAACTAGGCTAAAAGAGTCATTGCTCAATTGCAGAATTTACAACTTGTGGAATTCATTGTAGGAAAATATGCCTGTTCAATAACTATAAATACCCCCAATCCATTTCTGTGGCTTATTATGTTGTTTTTTTCTTTTCCCCCTTCAGGTAATACCAGCTTTGTAATGTTAATTACCCTCCAGGTTTGAAAGGCACCCAGTGACCAGCATTCTGGTGTAATTATTCATGACTTTGGTGTGAGTTTCCCTCCTCCCCCAAGTAATACTGACAAGTTTAACAGAAATCTATTAAGTTAAAAAAGTACAAAGGTATATATTACATTTGCTAATTGCAAACAACCTCTTTTAGCTGCAATTTTTCCCATTGGGATTAAAAAGTGCACTAGTTTAACATGTCTGTACATTAAAAACAGTTTAAAACATTAAATATACAAACAGCAAGAGAAATTTAAATATTTTGTATCAAATACTATAGGACAATATAATTTACATTTTTTTACACAAAACATTACACCTAAAATATAACTTTAGATATTACAGAATATAAAAATACATACTTTTCGTCTAAAAAAATGTCTTTGCAGGTTCTGGCACAATGTAATACTTTAAAGGCACACCGTATTTTGGCAATCTATATTTGCAATTAGCTGTGCAACAATAATGACGACCTGTAATTAACCTTTTAGAACTGTAAGGCCAGATCTCCCTTCTTCCTAGAAATAACCCTTTTTAATCAGGTAAAAATGTGATTTGAACTGTTTAGGTGTTCCACAATTCATTTCTGCCGTGGTTTGAGCCTTCCAACCCTAATGCAGCAAAGTATGAACATGCTTAACTAAGCATGTGAAAAGCCACATCAAATACAATGGAATTAGTTATACATTCACAATCTTTGCTGTCTCAGGGTCAGAATGCTCAGCCCCAAGCATGATTAAGCCCCAAATGCAATCTGCGAGTCAAATTCTGTCCTGCCCTGTTTGTGCCAAGCAGTCAGGTCAGGATGTGGAAATAATTCAGTAATACCAAATGCTCTGATTTCAACTGTACCAATGTAGAAGTCATAATGACTCTACTGAAGCCAGTGGAGGCATATGAAGTAAAACTGGTGTAAGACTGAATCAGAACTACACGATTTTATCCTTGATGCATTTATGGAACTCTTGCCAGAGTCAGCACAGGGCAGAACATGTCTTTAGAGCTATATGCCTTATACAGATGCAACTGGGATGCAAAAAATTTTCAGTTCTGCCTTCAAGTTGTTTCTGGACCTCTACCCCCCCATCCTCCCCCCAATTTCAGCACACTAAATATTCAGTCTAAATCCCTTACTTTAAATGCCCCGAAGTAAGTTGCTTCTTGTGATGAATCCAGTAGCAATGGGTTTGATACCTGGATACTTATCATTTCACCAGATTTTAATTTAAAGAACCCTCCTACATTTACAGAATAAAAATGGAATTCTGAATTCCCTGACCAGTATTTGGTGCTTCCTCCCTTCATCAACACATCAGAGCGCCTTATTTTAAGGTTTGTCTTAGTCATATACACCATCAGCTGAAGCCCTCTTTTCGTCAGGTTGCCTGAAGTCTCATGATGTCTAAAACAGATGTTGGCATAAAGGTAGTAAAATCCGTCTTGATTAACAATTAGTTTCCCATCATTAAACGTCATATTTGATAAGTTTGCCTGGCCTTTGTCATGATGCCAGGATGTAAGGTTCACTTTACGAGTTCCTGAAGAGAGGGGAGGAAAAAAAAAATAGTTACTTCATTTATAAGCATTTCACAAAACACAACATTTAAAAAGCAATACCCAGATTTTTAAAATCAATAGCAAGTACCTTCATGTAGGCTAAAGTGAAGTTTAATGCTTCAGAATATTAGACATTTATGATAAAAAAAAAATAAGAAATTTCCTTTTTCATCATGTGCTGCCCTCCCACAGAATGTCTGCTGGACTTGGTCAATTAATTGACCACTTGCTTGGCCAATAGTTTGATGGCACTCAATCACACAACAAGCTCTATAAAGAAATTGCATTCCACCTAAAACTTTATTCAGGTAACAGACAATTGAGAGAATTTGAAATGAAAAATTGCTAATGGGAAAAAAAAAAAAAAGAGCAAATCTTGCTATGAGTTAACCTGGGTTTGCAAGGAATAATTAAGCAGCATCTGAACAGATCTAACTGATATTTCCTCAAATAGAAAGTTTATGAAACCTTTATGTAGTTTATGCTCTTGTGACCGCAGCAGTACAAAGATAAGCATGTTCTCAAATGAGAACACCAAAAAAAAAAAAAAAAAGGAAGAAAAAAGTCAATACAATTCTGTATCTTTGGTACTACATAAATTATCTATACTTCAGATAACAGTCACAGAAGAACCAGCCAATACCCATGGGCAGAGGAAACAGCACCCTCCTGAGAAGCCACACAGGTCCCTGCCCTTCTCAAGATGCTCCATGGCACAGAAGAGCCACTACAACCTACCATTTATTCAGCACAATACACAGGGCATAGCACAAGAGATGAAAGTTGGCCAACTTGTCCTCCTAACCACCAGCAACTCCCACACAAACCCAGCTCTGTTCGCTCCCTCTGAGGCACCTGCACAGGCACCTGAGGGCCTTGGACTCCCAGTGCATCTGCAGGCCTGCCTGGAATACTCAGTGCCTTATCCTCCCCCCACAAACCAAAGCAATCTACTCCTACCACCCCTGGTGCTCACAAACATGCTGGGGAACAACCCCAGATACATTTGACTAAAGCTGCCTCCTGGATTTGTTTGTGTTGAAGTGAGGGAAGGTAAGTAGGAACAGGGGAATTTGAGAGCTATGAGTCTTCCCTAGCTGCAAAGGGCAACTTTTGCATGTGAGAAGAATACTCTACTGTCAGTCCAGAACACAAAAAAACTTCCACAGAGACTCAAGCAAAGCACAGGCTATCAAAAGCAGACCTAATTAAGTATCTGTTCCCTTATGGCTTCATTGTAGCCAAGTATAAATTACCCAAGCAAACTTGTACAGAGAAGCCTTCTGTGCAGTACCTCTAAAAAAAAAAAAACTCTGAAAACTATCAACAAATTGGTAGCCACACTAAGGTCTTAAGTTTCTTATCCTGGAATAACTCATCTGCAAGGGAATGCTAAAATACCACAGCACATCTCTGAAGCTGAAGAATAGCTGAAGAAGTTGTAGCATTTCTTGTACAGTGTTAAATCCACCTGAAACATCACCCTGGGAAGCTGTGCTACCTTCAAAACGAGGAGGGTAGGTGAGAAATTAGAGCCAATATCTCTGCTTGAACTGACAAAGGACAGAGGCACAGAAATATTAGGCAGAAATGTATACATATGACCAAGCAGAAAGGCTTGCTGGCATACTGTGACTGACTGGCAGCCCACCAGAAAGTTGCAAATTACTAAGCAGATTTTTTTATTTTTTTTTTTTACCTGGCAAGTAAATTTTTTAGTTGCCAGCCTCAAAAATCAAGAAGCAATTCTGAAGAAACCCTCAATGAAAACACAGAATTCTTTGCTGAAAGGAAAGATGGAAAATAGGTGCCACCATGACTTGTAATTCTGCTACTGAGAGCAGCTATGGGTGATGCTTGTTCACATTGTTTGGTGTTAGAAGCAATATGTATCACTCAACGGTCAGGTAGAGGGACAAGCCAAGAGCTGATGGAGAACAATCCTATCTAAAGGTCTAATTAGACCTGTTTTGAGCAGGGGATTAGCCTAGATGACTTCTGGAACTGCCTTTCAACCTAGATTATAATGCTGTAACTGCAATAACCAAGGCAGATGGACATTTTTCCACAATTCAGAGATTTAGAAGAGGCATGTCAGAGCCAGTAGCACAGCACAAATGCACAGTGGTGGAAGTAATGTCATGCAACCCTTAATGGAAAGAGTAAGCGGGATCTCAGTACTGCAGGTGGTAAAACACCCAAGTGATCAATAAGCAGAAACACAGGCAGAGGAAAAAAATGGAGCATAAAAGCACCAACTCAGCTGTCCATATAGGAAACTCCAAAACATAATCCAAGTTACAGGACAGTCAGAAGTGCTGTAATACAGCATCTTTTCATACAAAATTTATAATGGAGCCCCGGAAGAAATAACACAAAGTAAACCATGTTGACAGAAGGAAGAAGTCAGAGATAATGACTAAGGTAATCTTCCAAACATGGTAACAAGCATTAAAAAACAGAGATAATTCTCAGTCTTTCTGGTAACTCAAGACAAATCAAAACAATGTGTTAAATGTTTGCAGGCATGAACTAAAACTAACACAACTGAGTTCCAACAGAATTAGTAGGAAAGAAGATGAGGGATGAAGTAAACCAGTATTTATTACTTATTTGCACTATAGTAGCTTTCAGGTATAAATAAAGCCTGAAGAAAGGGCCAAAGCTCTGGCTGCTCTGAAAAACCACTTCTGGAGGCAGAGGGCAGCTAAGCTGAACCTGTAGCTGTAAATAGCTCAAAAATACCACTGTTTCTTTAGGTAGTAGCTAAAGGTACCAATTCACATCCCAAATGACATATTTAACATTTGCATTTCTGTTTGTGCTCTTCTCCTTTAAACTGTGACTAATTTATACAATCAATTTATAAACCAAAATTCACTGTTTTCATTTAAAACCTAGGTAGTGTTTAAAGTGAGCTCTGGTAAAAAGCAAACAGCAAGCATCCAGCTTTAACCTAATGCAACAAATTTAAACCACTATGGCTTCTGCAGCTAAATGATGGGTGGGACGCCAAGATGTAGGAAGAGTTATTTTTCCCCCTGTCACTCCACAACTGCAGAAGTCCATCTGAGGCATGGTATTATTCTGAACCAGGTGAAAGGAAAGTGTTCAATGCCTATTCACGACAGGCATTTCCTTGCAAATTACTTGAACAAAATAAAATCCTGTTTGATAATGATAGACTGATTTTTTTTTTTCCTTGACATTGCTTATTTTGGGTCAGAGTGATGACAGTAGGGAATTTAAAACACTAAGAACCAATCTGTCCAGACTCATGGATGGCATAGAGCTATTTAGAAGGATTTCAGACATGTAGAGCAAAGAAACATTGGAAGAAAACAGAAATTTGCAGTCAGAAACAGAATGAAAAGCAACTCCTGGTGATCTACGGGCAAATTCTTCATCCTTTATGTCTGTTGTTAATCTCTTTGCCACCCAGTCAAGTGAGTAGCACCTCACACCAGTGATAAGATAGCAAAGCACCTCACTATCAATAGGTTCAGGGTTCCAGCTGCACAAAAGGATGCAGTCCCTTACTGCCACAGTGCCCATACAAACAGCAGAAGCTGTCCTCATGACTGATGTCCCAGTAATGCTCTTCTGAAGAAAGCATAAGCCATGTGCCAGATCAGAGGGAATAAGCCCAACTCATTGTGTTGGAAGAGGTTGATCTCCTCAAAGGAGAAACAAAAGTTTGTTGCTACAGGGACTGTATTTCTGAAAGCTCCTACAGATTGTGCTGATAAAAAAAAGACCAATGTTTCTGTTGCCATTACTCACAAACGTGCTAATTCACTCCCTAGAGTTAATACAGTGATGCACGTCAGTAAAAAGTATCAAGTATTACTCCTGGTAAAAATACACTTTAGAGTAACATCTAGATAGACAGCAAAAAAAAAAAGTCCCATGGGTGAATTTCTCAAAGTGTGGCAGACTCCAGTTCTGTAGATGCAAATTATCATGTATACAGCTAGCAATGTAATTCAATCTTCCAAAGACAAAGTGCTAAGACAGGTTTACTGATACTGCATCCTCTACTGCTGAGCCATGTCAAAAGACACAATCTGACTCGAAGAGAAGGTTGTCAGAAAGCATCTGAACTAGTAAGAAAGCTTGTAGAAGTTCTGATTGCCATTTTACAAGTTGCTTAAAGCTCTCTTTTTATGAAGCTGAACATTTGGACTATGACACTGCACTTGGAGGGGGAAAGAACATTACCCTCCTGGCAAGAAGCTAACCCCTCGTGCAGACGGCTTTTGTCTCTGAACAGAGCAGGCTGGCAAAATCTCAGATTTCAGGCCTCCGAGAATTCCCTTTTGGTTTGGTTATATAAAGCAGAAAAGTAACATGTACAGCTTAAGTAATGAGTTGAGCACATTCATAGTAGCATTAGAAGCATCCACTTAAAACTGAACTTACCTGATGGAATATTCTTATCATCAATAATGAGATGGGCAAAAGGCAGCTTCTCAGGCTTATTTCTCTTGTACAGGTCCATTCCTAATGCCTCCATTGCAGCTGAAGATAAAAGAAATCCATTATCTCAGAAGAAAAAAAAAAAAAAAAAAGAAAAAACAAGTTTAATAGAACTAAAATATTTCTTATTCATAAATCAGCACCTACCTTTTTCTGGTCTTGGTGTTTCTCTTCCCAGGATACGCTGGACTTCCTAAAATGAAAAAAAAAGACATTGCTTTGATGTTGCCTTGCTTGCTTGTGTATCACAGATCATTTGCACAATTACAAAACAGTATCTTCTCTGTATACATGGGGGTATACTGTATACCTACAGTATAGCCAGAGGCCTGGAATACATATCCTGATATTTACAGGATGTATAATGTGAACGCACAGTTTAAATGCCATAATCAAATTACTTCCTCTGTCCAATACTTCTGATAAAGGAGGATATGAATGCTAGCGTGTGATCACTGCACTGCTCATCGGAGTAGTGATTACGGACATTTACAGCCATTTCTACTTATTGCACTTGGAACGTTTCTAAGTATAATGGAACAATGACTGCTAAAAACGCACCACATAAAACCATGAAGTTTATGAATTGACTTGGGGTCAAAAGGTAACGAAGGAGGCAGTTCTACATAGAGACCAGTATGTAATCACACGAACTGTGGAAAACTAAGCCCCGCGTTTCCTTTATGATGAGATAAATTAAAACCTCCACCTCTCATGCTTTACCACTAACAGGAGAGGCTGCAAGACTGTAAGGCTTTGCAACCAAGCCTTACTCATATCAAGGTGTGTAGGCACTGAAGGATTAAGCATTTTCCACATCTGTACTGGTCCAAATTAAGCAGGTGCCAGAGTTTGGAAGTATAGATTCCCCAAAACTGCAGATAAATTAGAAACCAAGATCAGTGCAAATATCAGTTACCACAAAGCTTTGCTTTTAAACAATCCTCTCCTGTTTTCTTCTTACGAAGATGTATAAACAGCAGTTTTCAAAAGTCTAAGCAACATCTTTTTACAAGCCTGGACAGTCTTGACAGAATTAGGTTCATTCCTCAGTTCTGTTCTCTGTTCCCCACCATGACTCTCCTCATCTGTTTCCTAAAAGACAAGGATGATACTTTCCTTCCTATTGAGATTATCTCATACTATGGAACTATCAAGATGTTTAGTAGGCAACATTTCGCTGCATATAGCAAATCATATTGTTATCTTTGAAATGTAAGTGGAATTCTGTGGTTTTTTCTCTTTACATCTCACATACTGCTGGTTGTCTAATTAAACGCCAGGTATATAAAACTGACCTCAGATTTGGCCATATCAGCGAAGCTCCACCATGTTCTCTATCACTGCAATGTTTTAGAACTTGAAATCCTGCTTTGAAAACACTTAGCTCCTGCTTTTATGTAATTCTGCAGCCACAGTGAAATCTGTAACACCTTCTCTCTCTTTCTCCTTTCAGTAGGTGTCTAAATGTTAAACCAAAATGAAAAGCCACAGCAGCATGGAAGTTGTAGTATGACTATCAAAGCATAATACTTCAGCAGAGATATGCTGATTGTGTAGATATGAATCATTACGATGCTTTCTGCTGTAGAGACGAGAAGAAAAGCAGAAGAATCGCAACTTCAAAAGAAGCAAAACCCGTGTCCACCTCCCCCCATTTACATTCACTTCCCCTCTCTGATCTTCTTACTTCAACATCAGTTCTAGCAGCATGAAAATGAAGCTCAGTTCTAGGAGCTGCACATCAGCCTCTAGCCACACCTGATCTCTAACTTCATCAGAAGTACTAAGAAGAAAAGTTGCAAGTACTTGGTACTGCCAAAGGTGGTAAAAGCATCTGAAGAGAACAGGGCATAGAGGTAAAAGAGACTGGAAGATGGACTAGACTCTCAGATACCACTATATTACAGCTGCTCCCAAACCTTTCCCCAGAAAGGGGAGACTTCCTTTTTCTTTTTTCCTTTCTTAATTGAAATCTTTTGTGTTTGGAGTCTTTTTTAGGATCCTTTCTTTTTGGGGAATGCTTTTGGATTTGTCCAGTAGCCTCTCCAGGAAAAGAGGTATTTACATTTCAATCTTCTATTATCTAAAACAGTACTGGAAAAAAAGAAAAGCTTGGTAAGTCCCTGAACTAGTCAATTGCTATCCTCCTTATAACCTATTTTTTTTTCCTTAGGAGCCTAGAGTTCTGCTTCTGTACGTTTCCAAAGATGCTCTGACTTGAGCAGCTGGGTACCTGGCTTTTTGAGCTCTGGCAGCCTGACTCAGCATATCTTCCATGAAGAAAGGCTGTGGTACTCGTGAGATGCATTCTGAGCCACTTTCTTTTTAACTGATGGTGGTGCTATTCATCTACAACATCACTACTGGGTGAGCAAAACAGCTAGCCAGGAAGACCTTGGTCCACTTGTCTTGATGGTCTTGAACCTACCACTCCCCTGCTTCCTAGGAGCACCTTGGTCACCAAGATGTAGCCTGGGCTTGACAGGAGCACTCTGGTACTCCAAAACATTTCTTCATGATTTTTTTCCACTTCATCTGTTTCTACAGGTCCAAGACACTGATAAACCTTACTGATACACAACCCACCTGAACATCATTAGACACCTCATACCTAATTACAACGCACACTACTGCTCAGAAAGCAGAAACAGCTCAACAGAACCTGTCGCTAAGACACTGCCACAAAAGCATGAGTACTGCTGGCAAAATATTGCCAATGACTTTTCAGCCACAGAACCAAGCGAGCGACCAAGCTGTTATTTTTAGAAAAAAAAAAACGTACACAAAAAAATTACACCACACTGTTAAGTTTTAAAATAAGCTGCTTTTGTACATCTTCGTGTCATTTGCTCACTACACACTATGTCAACTCTACTGGCCTGCTTCCCATATTCCAAACTTTTTCCATACAGTCACTGTTCAAAAAACAAGCAGCCAGTCAGAAAAATTAAGATATCTTCCTTCCTCCAAAAAAATAAAAGGCCATGGGGAGGCTGCAAAACTTGCAAATTTTAAAAGCTAAAACCATGCTTTAAGTGTCTGGAGTGTGGGGAAATGCTCTTCCTCATCCACAGCAGGCTTTGGGTTTTAGAAAGCTGCCACACCCATTACTACATTAGCATGTCATCAGCATCCTTAAAACACAAGTCCTGCCCTTCACATTATATTAGATGTTGAGTACACACAAATAAGGTTACATAGGAACATGTAACATCTGTGAATGTTTTTTTCCTCCTCTTTGTTTCTACAATATCTCATTGTCTCCTTGGAGTAGCTACAAGTAGCCTTTTAAGACCAGGCAAGAGACCCACCCTCAGGACATTCACCTACTGCTTCAGCTGTGACCCTAAGGCTCCCTTAGTGATGTTTCTACTACTACCACCTCAGTGCTTTAAGGCTAGTTGATATCAAGAAGTAGTATCTGATTATCTTGCCGGAAATTCAGCAGTTTGAAGAATGCTGATCAGGAAGGAAGCGAAATAGAAAGTGCATAAAACCAATATTCTTCAGAAGATTGAGATGTGAGCACTGCAACCTCTATTCAAATGAGTAGTCTATTGCCTGCAGAAAAAAAAAAGGGGCATGTAAAGTTGTACTGTGGAAACTGAAATTTTAACAGCTTACAACAGTCACCCATGAAACCTTCACTTTGTCCATAAACCACATGCACTTAAAATGTCTGCTAAGTATATAGATCTCTTTATAAGTGCTGCCCCGGAGGTCTAGCTACAAAGTGTGTTGTTGCCGTGTAGGAGACTAGTTTACGCCTGAACTCCCCAAGCTGCTAGAAGCTGGGAGTATTGCCAAGAAAAGATACTTATGAATTGACCAAGATATGTTTGTAGTCCTTTCTACTTCAGACTCATAACAGACTTCATAAGAACTGTGGTTAGTGCATCTGGGCTGCCAAAGGGTTTTTAGGGTTACATGCAAAAAATTAAGCAAACAGACAGACTAGGAAAGTGTATTATTTGTCTGCTTTAAAGTTTATTTGCAATAGTATTGAAAATGTGTTTTCTACTGAGTAAGCGGCTCCCTAAGCAGTATTTTTATTCTGGAATGTATTGAGGAGGTCACCATTAGATTTTCTTTTAATTATTTTATTTTTAAGTCAGGAGACAAATGTTTCCAGACCTGACCTTACAGCACTACTACACTGGTTTTCAGAAGAGCACTTGCAATGTCAGTCCCAGCCTTAGATTTAAACACTAGCCTACAGGTGTGCGAAGAAAACAGATGAGAACTAACACAGCAAGCTAAAAGCTGTTACCAGACTATAAAACTTAACGAAAAAAAAGGTTGTCTATTTTCATTTCCTGAATAGCTTAAATTGCTTAAGACAAACAACTGAAAAAAATGAGAACTTAACTGTATTTTAAAGTGTTCCATTTCAGTCACCTAATGCACTGTCACTGCAAATATGGATACCAGCTTTTGAAACACACACACACACATTTCAGGAAACTCAATAAAGAGGAGAAAATAGGAAACATCTTTCCAGTCACATGAACCGCATTCCCACACAAGGGCCTAGTCCAATTGTAGATAAGATTCAGATGCATCTCTCCCTTTCAGTACAGCAGAACCAATGAAAGGCTCAGCTTACACAGCTTAAGGCGAGCTTAATTTGCCTTAGCACCGTTTCTTTCATTTCCTTGATAGGAATAGAAAAGATGCAAATGTAGCCCTAGGCAAACATTTACCTATTTTTCAGTCATCAACGTATGATGACACAGCATCCAGAACACTGACCCTGCTGCTTAATACATTCTGTTGCATTCAAAATTCTTGGAGTCTGATTACTTTGGCAGGGAAAGCATCATTGTTCTCAAACTAACGGTCATCAACCAAAAAAAAATTATCCTACTCACTACTTATCTTGGCCACTGCCTTTGCAGCTTTTAACCTCTGTGCTGAATGGCAGAATATGCAGCCTCCACTGAAGTTAAAGCTTTTGTTGAGTAACCAGCAGCAAACAACCAAAATGCAGAACTTCCCATTCACTTACTGTAATAAGTTCCTTGCTCTCAAGGGTGCTGCAGGAAAGAGCACTCTAGTAGCAGCACGCAGAACACACAAGTAGTAATAGTCTAAAGAAAATGCTGGAAGCAAGAACTAGTTGTACAGAGTTAATCCATTTTCCTGACTTTTTAAGGAGGTGGCAAGTAAAGGGAACAAGGCTCACAGCTTTAAGCCTTGTTCCCCAAAAAGATCTGTCATCGAGGGTACTCTATTAAAAACAAACATGATCAGCACAATTAATGCACTGTATAGTTAAGTCAAGTACAAGTCACTCTGTAAAGGGTTCAGCTCAAATCTAATGGAGTATCCTTTATGAAAAACTTGACAGTCATATACAGATGTGAAGAGATAATGGACTTTATAAGCCAGGAATACCACAGCACACATTCAGCTTCTTCATTAGCCCATAATTAGCACTAAACACTATCACGAACATGCAAAGAGATCAAACACAGTAACTACTAAGGAATAATTGTGACTTATATTCAGCTTGCCTAGGTTTCTTCATTAGGGCTAATTTAGCTGCCTGCTTTTGCTATTTGAGTTTGGAAAAAAAGCTGTCATTCTCAAGTGCTGGGCAAAGAATGCCTACTTATCATGATAGCAAAGCAGATCTTCCACCACTGTGGCAAAATGAGCAAAAAAAAAGGGTACTATTCTTCATTCTGGGTAATCAAAACTATTGTACTGCAGAAGGAGTAAGAAATAAGAGTAGATGGGAACAAATACTGTGCCTTCCATCTTTCAGACAGCATGTTGCTTGTCGATGCCCTTGGCTTGAAGAATCCTGTCAGAAAGTCAGGAAGATCAGTTTGGAAAAAAAAAGTGCAGCTGTCCTTACACATCCGAAGTGTTGGCAAACCTGTACAAGTATTAGGATAGATGACTGCCATCACACCCACCCAAATGTCAGAGCTGCCTATCAACTAACTGCGATTGGTTTTCTGTGTGACTTCCAAGCCTCCCTTTAACAAAACTAAAAAATGTATTTGAATGCAGAATTGGTTAACCACTACCAAGGTTCATAAGCAAACACAGTGAGATCTCAGATCCATCACCACATTATCCAAACATCAAAAAATAGTTTTTAGAACTTACCTCCAAACAAAGATGTTGGAAAAGTTTTACAAGCATAAAAGAAAACACTGCCACTTACCTTCTGCACAGCTCTTTGGAGAGCCTGTTTCATCCTTCTACATGATTCCGGCATTAACTTCACATCTTGATTCTCAAATGGTGTATCTTGCAAACCTATACTTTCTTGAGATCTGAAAAGCATTCTGACACAGTGTGCATCTTCTTTTGAAATTCTACTGGGGTCCATCTGAAACAAAAATACAAGGACAGCCACAGTTTTAAGAGTCTGTCCATCACACAAGAACATACTTAAATCAGGGCAAATTTTCAACCATGGAAAAGTTTGACAACTAGCTAAACTTATTAGCTAAATTTTTATTCTAAGCAATGAAGAGAAAGTGTTCCTTGTAGGAACATTTACTTCAGGCAATGTAAGATAGGAGAATAAATGTATCTTCTGGAGCTGCCTAGCTTGTTAGCTTAGACTGGGTATCGACTTTCAAAAGTTAAAAATTAGTTAAAGATTAATCCCACTTTTACTGTAAAAATCAATAATCCTGAATTGCATTTTTAGATGCAATATCACAATTATCTTAGCAGGCAACATACGCAGACATCCTACCTATTAAAAATACGGATTGCAAGATGACACACAAATGTCAAAAGCAGCAATTTGGGGAATGTATGTACAACATCCAGCACATCCTTTTCAAGGGGAGAAACAGAAGCAACAGAAAACAGCTATCACAAAGTATGTTGCAGGCAAGATGTATTGCTGCATGAAACAGTCACCAGGTAACATCGTACAAATTCAGAAAGACCAAGAAACAATAAAACACCTCCTCTTTATTGGACAAAGTCTAGTAAATCCAAAATATCTACAAGATATTTTTATCAATTAATCTCTGCTATTGAATCAAATATAATTTTTAGTTGTAAGCACAGAATGCTCCTAAGTTCTACCAATCTTAATTCTAAAATGACTTAGAAGGATATTCCAAGAATCAAGATCATACCTCGGCAGAATTCAATTGCACAAACATTATTCAAACCATTTCACTCTTTAACCCCCCTCCATATACCTCACACTCAACAGATATTAACCATTCTCTTTTATATATAGCCTAAGACTCTCAGCAATTGATCTCAATGTGTATTTATGCTGCTTTTACATCAGAAGGGTTTGTGCACTCAAAACTTTCTCTAAGTTCTCTAACTGGGTTAGCTGGTCTAATATGAACATTTACTTCTACTGTTTTCCATAACAAACACCAAAGCACCGATTTATACCTGAGAATTACATAATATATTATGAATAATCATGGTGAGGGAAGGTCAATCCATTACAGATAATACCAAACTAGGGGCTACTTTCCTTGTAAATAACATTGAACAAAACAATGTCAAAGGAGGTTTTGCAAAATACGCAACAGCCAGACTGAATCAAATTTATGTCAACAGTTCACATGAACATGAATTCAATTCCCTAACCCCAAAAAAGAACCAAACTAACTTAAAAGCATAAGGTTAGGATTATAGAGGTAAGCTCAAGCCTACAGCAGGCAGCCAGGCATCCAACAGCACACACTGGAGGAAAACATTTGTTGCAGAGACAGCCATAACAGTAAGTTGCCTCCTCCATCAGCATCCTCCTAGTGAAGGCTCCAGATGAGAGCTGTTTGCCCCACTTGTTCAAACCAATGTCATCCCCCATGAGCTGGTTTAGCTGTCTCAGTTATCCCTGCAGATTTGGAACTGAACAGGTCAGAAAAGTTTCACCTGAGGATCAGAAGACGCCACAGCTTTGAGCAGAGGGGTAGAGATGAGTTACAGGATGGCTTGGAGGCAGTAACAGCTTCTGGAGTAGCCTGATACAGCAGAATCCAAAGGAAAATCTGTTTATAGATATTACAACTCTATTAAGCACTAAGAACTACACTAATAACTTCTAAACGCAGTCCCATTACCTGTTTAAACTAATCTAAAACAGAACCTCTGTGCCCTCACCTTCTTCACCATGAAATCCCACTCCTGGCACTCAGCCTCCTCTTTAAACCAGTACCATGGAGCACTACCCTGAGGTAAATTTATGTTGATGCATTTTCCTGAAGGATTAGCACCCTGAAGCCAGCTCACTACAGGTGTCAGGCAAGCATCGGAGCTAATACAAGGGCATGGAGGAGCAGGAAGGCAGTGCTAGCTTTGACAGCTGTAAAACTGCAACCTAAAACTGTATCCCAGCAGATTCCACCAGTGCACAGGAGCTCAGAGAACCAACAGTAAGAGGAGATAAAGAAACACAAATAGTTACCAACAGCTGTTAAGAGGCAGTTCATGGAGAAAGACCTAGGTCTGGAAGGTGCCTGGTCCAACCCCTTGCTGGAAGCAAGGTGCAACGTGTAACTTAGGGCTGATCGCTTGAGGCCTTAGTCTAGCCAAGCTTGATGGAAACTCCATCGATGGAGGCCTGCAACCTCTCCAGCTTGTTAATATGCCTCTAGCACTGAGGGGCCCAAAACAGGACCCGTTACTCCAGATGTAGCCACTTACATTGGTATTGTCAGGAACCAGGGGGAATAGGGCCTTTGACAGGATCTGGATATCTAAGTCCTCTCCCTTCCTCACACCACTGAACAGAAGACTGCCAGCAGGTACTCACTTTTATCAGCAATACTCCTAGTGAGAAACTATCACCCCAGTTTGGGATTTATTTAAACACAACTTCTGCAAAGCAGACAAGAAAACTAGGTTTTAAAACACAAAAATCATGAAAGATTTTCATTTTTCTAGGACCTGGGCATGACAAATCACACCCAGTAGAGACTTGCAGCTATCACCCATCAGCAATGAGGCAAATGTGGCACACAACGCTGTGCCAGAACAACAGCAGCAGCTTGTACAGAAGCATTTATTCAGATTATAGCTCATCTGTTGAAGGCTCAAGACAGAAAACCATCATCTCTACACCTACAATTAAAAGATTGAGGACTTCATGGAAACACTGATTGCTCCAGCGACTTAAACTGAAGCTGTACAACCCATCCTGACAGGTCACAAATCTCTAGAGATTTATTGTCTGATAAGGTGAAGCTCTGATCTTGGGACTAATAACCTACCTGGTTGCCCTTACCGTTTTCAAAGAATACCCTGCCAGCACTACTTCTCAACCACGGAAATGAGCTCACCTGTCTGAGCAGCCCTTCTCAGAAATCCTGCAACTGACATTTTATAAAAAAATACGTACTGAGCTGCCATGGCTGCAAACAGACAATACCGAGCACCGACACCCTAACTGCGGGCAACAAGTGACGAACAAAAAAGCTTTCAAGGATGTGTTCTGAGAAGAGCTTCTGAAGAGCCAAAACAAAATACCAGAGTGGTCTACAGAGAGCAGAGCGCTACCTTGCAAGGCACAGAAGGTTAGCGGAAGGTTAGCCTTTGAATAAATAAAAACCTTCAGCATGAAGTCTTAAAGATTCAATACCTGAAAAAAAAATCATCAAGATGCAATGGACAATACTGGAGAAAGCTTTACAACATATTAAGGAAGTAAATACCCTAGAGCTATGAGCCTATTTAAAGATAAAATCTAGCTATTGTTTTACTATACTTTACACATGTTACTATTGTGCATATACATCTACTGTCTCCAGCCTTGGAATGAGATCACGTCTTTCAGTGCCCGTTGTTATCAAGGTTTTTCATCATCTGTAACCACTTTAGCTGCATCCCTGGACTCCCTTCAAGTAATTCAGGGCAGGCAAAATGAACTCCAATACCATGGGTGACACCACATGAATTTACAGAATTAAGGGCCAATTTTATAAAGATAAGAAGATTTGCCATGATTTTAGAAGACAGTACATTCCATTGAACTTTACTTATTAAGTATTGCCTCAATTTTGCAATGTTACAGTATCACATTCTGCACTTTCTCCATAAAATAAACGTTAACCATTTATACTTGTTTTCGAACCTAAACCAACTTCAAGTTTAATCAAATATCACTTTACACTCTGTGATCTTTCCTAACCACCAAGAAAGGGTTCTTCCGGGCTTCCAGAAAGTGCTAGTGACCCCTAGCAAGCGGTTTGCTGTTAGCCACTGCTCCAGCTTGCTCACAAGATTTTAGATCAGGTCTGAAAGGACATTGTTTAAAAATGTTACAGTGAAAAGTCAGACTTCCATAGATGCATGAAACGGCAATAAAGAAATGTCTTCCAGGTCCCCATTTATCTAAATGTGAACTCTTCAGTACGGTAGAATACTTAACTTTTGGACACACTTTTTTCAAATAGGAAAAATGGATAAGCTCGAAGCTGAAGGTTAAACTGCAGGAGTTTGACATCCAGCCCCTACATCTGGCTTTGAGCCCCTCCAGCTTGTTCCACTGCCCTCCAGTTCATTCAGCATTAGACAAATTCATACTTTTTCTGATCTAAGTACAGGAAGGAAATGGACCAGAATGAAAAAAGTAAAAGCAAAGCTTTTGAAGACTATACTTCAGCATCTCCCAATTACAGAGAAATAAAATACGTAGCATTCTCACTTGGTGCTGTGCATGAGACTCCATCACCTCCATCTGCTCAAGTACCTAAATTTGCGCTGCATTTCCATTGACCACGAGCAAATATTTCTCATGAAGCATAATCATTATAAACACTTAGGAGCAACACAAGTTGTTAGTGTTTAATTTCTTGGATCCAATACTTTGCATATAGGGTCCAAAAAGAAAACACAGAACACCTTAATCTTTTTACAGTTCAGAATGGCAGCATTCTGCAATATTGGTAACATTCAATTCTTAGCTTTTTTTTTTCCTTTTTAAATATACCAGCTCCTTGTCTCATTTGCATTGTGCTACGTTATTTCTTGGCCACAAACATGTGTTTATCCATGAAAATCTGGTGTCAGTCTTAGTTTTGTGTCTTGTGAAATTCCAAATGCTCAAGCCACAAAACAAACAAAACTGAGGAGAAACCAAAACCTCGGTTATTGTCTCAGCTCGTATTGTGTCATGATCTAGCCCAAATGATTTTATGCAAATGAAAATAAGAAGTGTATGGTAAAACTGAGTCAGAGTTTAGTCAGCCTTCTTGGGTTTTGAAGAGCTTGTAGAACAGTCCTGTTAAATCATGTAATTTCTTAATATGAGCCCATAAAGTTAAGTCTTGCTAATTCACATTTGGTTAGTCCACCAACCAACATGTCCCCTGCTAATAACTTCTCATTATTTTAACAGAATAAACCACAAAACCTAAGTTCTGTTATTAAAAAAGTATAATCTCAGATAGATTAACACAATTAAATTTGACAGCAGATAGATTGATACAATTAAGTTTGAAAGGATAACTTTAGATTGATTAAGACAAACTTGACAGCAATCCATTCAAAACATGCCCCATATAAATAAAACTATTTCTAAGGCAATTATACTTCTACAAGACCTAATGTATTTTTTCCATGTGTTATTTGCACAGTAAGAAACTGGTGAGCAATGGTGGATTACCATAGCTTATTATTATGAATTACGTACTTACTTTGAAAGTATATTTCTCAGTGACAGCAAAGATGACATTTTTGACATTAGGAAGTTTTCTGGGAGTATTTTAGTCAAGCCTACACCTAGGTATACCGCATTTTTTAGCCCTCTCAAAAGTTCAAGTTCGCAAAGTCCATCCAACAGCATTGCTCTAAATCTACAGGAACTAGAAACCGGCAAGAGAGCCTCGCTGCCGAAAGCAGAATTACACCCACACTATGTCTTTTTTTTTTTTTTTAAATAAAGGAAGCAGAAGAAAAGTAGTCTTTATGGTACGAAAACTCTGGTTATCCCTTCTGGGGAGCGTGCGCAGCGCTGACACGAACCTATCAGGGCAGGGTCCTGAAGGAGGGGAGAGGGTAAAAGGAGTGGGAACACCGCTTTTTAAAATATATAGATGCTGTGATAAGGTGTTTTGCTTGCAGTGGCTCTCTAGCACAGCAACACACGTGCACTTGTGCACTTCCACGAGCAGTGTCAGGCTACAAACGCGAAGCGCCACGGGGGGCTCCCACCCTAAGACGCCCGCTCCCCTTCCCTCCCGCAGCCTGAACGCCTCGGCGCCCCCTTTTCCCCACGGCAGCCGCTTACCTGAGCTCGGAAGTAGAGGAAGAGGGCCACGCTGCACACCACCTGCCCCAGCCCCAGCAGGACGAGGGCGGCCAGCAGCGAGCGGGAGGCGGGCGGCGGGTGCGGGTGTGCCGGCAGCGGCGGGGCCGCCTGCGGCGGGGCCGGCGGCGGCGGGGCGCTGTCGTGGGCGTTGCCGCCGCCCAGCTCCTCGGAGCCCCGCAAGTACTTGCTGTAGTCTCGGCTGGCTCGCCGCATGGCTCTGCAAAGCGGCTCCACGGAGCTTTTTTTTTTTTTTTTTTTTCCTCCTTCTTCTTCTTCTTTTTTTTTTTTCTTCTCTTTTCCCCCCACCCCCCAAACCCCGGCTTCGCTACACTTAGAATAACCCCCGGCGCCCCGGGCAGGGCAGCTCTTATAAAGTGTGGCGGCCAATCAGCCCCGGGAGCTGTGACTCGTCCTCCCTCCGCCCGCCGCCACCGCCACACGCAGGCACATGGCCACCACTCCCCTCCTATGGCGGCTCTTCCCTTCCCTCCCCGGCGGGAGGGTCGGCTTAGGTCGGGCCCTCCCCTGCCCTTAGAGCCCTCCTCAGGGAGCCGAGCTGATCGTCTTCCCGTCGGGGTAAAGAGGGATAAAGTCCCCCAAAGCCCTGCGGTGTACCCCTATCACAAAGGGGTTTCTCCCCTCACAGTTGCCAGGGCTGTACCTGGAGGTGCCCTCATGGTTGTCCCTGTCCTGTTGGGTATGGGGAACGCAGGGCAGTCAGCCACACTGGATGTCCAAACTCCCTCTTTACTCAGACTGGGTTAAAATGAACACACTTGTGCTGTCCGAAGCAAGGTGAGACAGTGCTAAGTGTTATCAGAGGATTGGGGTAAAGAAATGAGAGGGAGCTGAGCTGCCTGCCAATGACCCGCCAGAGATGTGGGGATCCCCATCTTCCTCCACACAGCCAGTCTGCCACAAAGGCATTTCCGAAGGCTTGATGAGGAACTGCATCTTCCTGTGCTCCCCATGGCTCAGCCTGAGTCATGCTGCCTTTTGTAGGCACTTTCTTTAGCATTTAGATCCCCTTCAGATCAACTCTCCCCTTCATATACCTGCTCATTTAGAGCTTGCCTAAATTTATCCTTCCTGCCTCCGTATAGTCTTCTTTCCCTCAGCTCTTTTGCTCATCACTTTATCTATGCATTTGGAGATGTAACTATCTTATCAGTAGGGCCAACTTCAGCATCTAACTAGTCCACTTGGTGGAAAGTGTTCTCCTAAATCCTATGGAAGTACTTGTTGTAAGGGCAGTTCAGATGTATTAGATCTGTAGTCCTGTAAAATTCAGTGGGGGAAATGGTCTGGACGTGAAAATAACTGAGTTGAAGTCTAGATCGCCCTTTGAAGAGCATGGGAGAATAACACAGATCCATGTAAGTCCTTGGGACTGTAAAAACACAGTTTAGTTTTTGTCGCTTACAACATGACAGAATATCCTGTTTGGGTCTGCCCAAGCTAAAAAACTGAGAAACTTCACCTCCTAAAGAGGCTGACTACACAAGACATGATTACATGCTCCAAGAAATTAAAGAAAACTGTCCGAAATACACCAAACCACTGTGCGACAAATTACTATCAAAATAAGCTGACATCATTTAACACTGGAGCCACATAGTGCAATAACAATTACTTCACCAACAGAGACACATCTGAGAAATGATGGTTTCACAGCACCTGTTTCTCAACATCACCCATCAGGAAGTCATGGAGCAATACTCGACCTCGAATGGCTGCCCCTCTCCTTTCCAAATGCTTACAATTATGCTCAGAAATATCGGTAGCATTGTGGTCTGTAGAGAATTGGAGGAAATGTTTCTCTACGTGTGTTTCAAAGAACTTTTCTGAAAACAAAAGGAAGGTATGCTAGCCACCATCCCTTGCATAATAACTTTGAAAATAATCTTACATACTCAGCTAGACAGCCCATAGTAGATGAATTTTACCTTGGTTTACAGTAACATTTTACTTTCAGGAGAGGAATAATAGTGAAATATGTTTTTAGAAAGATGCAACTTTTATTTTTCTCTAAAGATTATATATAGTTTTTTAAGATCCAGTTGCCAAGTAGTTATTAAACAATTGATAGAGGAGAAATTAGAATAATATCAGTGATATCAACAGATGATTTTTTAGTCTTTCATATGAGAGAGCCTCTAGAAAAGCCTCTGCTCTTTTCACCTTGGAGCTCAAAACTCTTCCTAATGAGGAAGGAAAAATCTGTGAATTGTCATCTTTTACCACCTTAAGACTTTTACTTGCTCTTCTAGATTCTTACAGAAGGAAATTTAAGAAGACTTTTGCTGAAAAGCTACGAGGATCTGCGGATATCCTCCTTAAACATGTTGTTATATATGTAAGCTTCTTTCTCCACAAACACTTCTCCTGGATCAGTGCCTCATAAGCTATCTTCTTACTGGCACTGTCTTCTGTATTATCATCACTAACTATGCTACACCAAGAAAGTATTATGGTTAACCTGTATAAGTGATACCAGCCTTTTAACTGTCACATGAATTCAGGCTGAGAGAACTGGGCCTGTTTAGCCTGGAAAAGAGAAGACTGATGGGACAGCTCGTCAATGTGTGTAAATATCTGAGGGGAGTGTGTCAAGAGGATGGATCCAGTCTCTTTTCAGTTGTACCCAGCAACAGAAAGACAGGCAATGGGCACAAACTGAACCATAGGAGGTTCTGGCTCAATATGAGGGTGCACTTCTTTACTGTGAGGATGACAGAGCACTGGGACAGGTTGCCCAGAGAGGTGGTAGAGTCTCCTTCTCTGGAGATATTCAAAACCTGCTTGAAAGCCATCCTGTGCAATGTACTCTAGGTGATCCTGCTCGGCAAGGGGTTGGACTAGACAGTCTTCAGAGGTCCCTTCCAACCTCAACCATTTTATGATTCTGGGATTAACCTCATCTATTTCTTCCTCATCCACAATGATTTCACCCTCAGCAAACTACAGATGCAAGTACAAGCAATCAGGTGCTTGTATCCAAGCAGAAGGATATCAGGCTATTCATGAGTCACCTCAAGAAAAAGACTTTAAATAGCCATCCCACCAAAACAGCAGTGGGTTCCTAGGATACACTAGGATACATAGATGACATCTGGGCTGAAAACTTGGATTCCCTCATTGATTTCTACCACAAGATCAGCAGCCAGAATTGTCCATCAAACTATCTCTGGAAAACTCTTACATCAGCATCAACTTTCTAGACACCATGGTCAACATAAAAAATAGCAACCTACAAACTACCATATGCAGAAAATCCACAGACCAACACACCTCCTTCCGCAAACCATCAGCTATCCAAAACACAGTAGAAAAACTGTGATATAGTACCAGCCCACAGACATCACCTCATTTGCTCTGAGGACAACATTCATAGCGTGCCCTCAGAAAGCTAGAGAGGAGGTTCATCCAATAGTGACACTGCTCTTGGACTGCATATTTGAAGAAGCCACCTAAACCTTGTAGAAGGTTACTACCATACAGAGAGGAAATCCCTCACTGGTTATCACATACCACAATGTGCAATAATGGAAAATATTAACAAGCTGCAACTTACGTTTGAAGAGAATCATACCTTGAAATGATTTTTCCTAGAACCACCCTTCCTTCCCTTCAAGCAGCACCATTATTGGAAGAAAATTTCTGGCAGACCAGCATACACTGGTTAGAACCGGATGACTCCAGAAAATCAGGTCCAAATCTTGCCACAACCCGCATGATAAATGCCTGCTATGCCGGAACCACTAAAATCCATAGGTCCTGCACATGCACATCCTGAAAGTCATTGTGTGATGCATTCAGTGCTCTCTGGCAATGATGTCGGTGAAACCAAACAACCGCAGTGTACTGCCCAATTAGTGACACCGGGTTACCAGCTGGGAACTGATCTTCCTAATACAACTGCTCTCTCTCTAACCTTGCAGGTCTGACCCTGCAAGATCAAAGGTGGGACAGAGTACTGAAGTTTTTAACTCTACCAGACAGCAGATACTGTGTGACATGGATCCAAGAAAGACCTGTAAATTTTTCTGCATCTCAAGTCTTGGTGATCTTTAATGGTAATTTCCTACCACTTCCTTTGATTATTTAGCTTCTGTCACCTCTTGAAATCTTAGCAGAGCCTGGATCATCACCCTCTGCTCACTCCTTCCTCTAAATGTCCAAATGATTAACACAATTAAGTGCAGTTCAGAGCAACCTACTACAAATACCCTCACATTCTCTGTTTCAAAGCCAACGAGTAGTTCATCCACCTGAAACTGTGTATACTTAACTAACATCTGCTGTATCTGTTGGCCTAATAAAAGATATACTCTTACTATTTTTTTTTTTTTTTTTTTTTTTTTTTTTTGCTTTCTTTGCATTTTTAAGGACTAATGACATAAGGAACAGTTCCTGTGAACCAAGCCCTAGCTCTCTAATGTGAACTCTTGGCCCCTGCTATTGTCTGTAAAACACTTGTGTTGCAGGAGATTTGATCATAAACATAGCACCTCTTATGATAAGACTGCATAACTGCTAGGATTTCTTTATCATTTTGCTTTGAAGCAAAACAGGAAGTAAAGTGTTTACGTAAAAGGCTGTGCTGAAAGTAGGTTCTCATCACAGAGTTAAAAGTCTTGAAAAATCAAAATGTCAAAGAGCAGCAAGCCCTCAGGTTGAAGAAAAGCATTGGAAACAACAACAACAAAAATCCTTGTTTTATTTTAGATTGTTCTCCTCCAAAATAAGTAGAATCACTAAAAATTTATTTCCCAACCTACACTTCCAATGAGGCAGCATTTATTAACTCAAGAGAGACTCCACAGCTGAAATATTCCATGTCAGTAAATCAGTAAGTGCATCTCTCCAACTGCATAATTTTTTTAGCAGGCATTGTTAAACAGGTGCCATATTCTTTCACCAGTGAGATTTTATTCTGCGCAAAGAAGTTTATAACTTCCTTCTCTGCTATTACCAGTGGTTGGAATATTGCTGGCAAAATCCTTTATCAACAAAAAGTTGTTTCAGACATGGCATGAATGTTTCATTGAGATGTATCAGCTTTGAGCATGCTTTGGATGGTAAGGTTTACGAGGAACAGCAAAGGCTTTGGGGGGGGATATAAGGGAAACATACTGAAAATATGATCTAATGACTGTGAATATGGACATTTGGATGCAGCTTTAAGTATTGGATTGAATATTTGGATGCAG